GGCGGGAGAGCGCCAGAGAGGCAGCGCGCGGCGCGCAGGGACTGGGGGCTGCCGGTGCCGCACGGGGAAGATGTAAGCGCGTGGGGTCTCGCTGGCCTCCGAGCACCATGCAGAAAGGGATCCGGCTTAACGATGGCCACGTCGCGTCCCTGGGACTGCTGGCGCGCAAGGACGGCACGCGCAAAGGCTACCTGAGCAAGCGGAGTTCGGACAACACAAAATGGCAAACCAAGTGGTTCGCGCTGCTGCAGAACCTGCTCTTCTACTTCGAGAACGACTCGAGCTCGAGGCCCTCGGGGCTCTACCTACTGGAGGGCTGCGTCTGCGACCGCGCGCCCTCCCCCAAGCCGGCGCTCTCGGCCAGGGAGCCACTGGAGAAACAGGTGAGGCGAGCACCGCGTCCTGACCTCCCCGCGCCCTGGCCATGGCCTCTAGGATCAGGGCCTCGGCTGGTTGATGGCGCCTGAACTTTGAGCCCTCTTCTCTGGTCACACCGGGCACTGTTGGGGCCCCCAGAGGGAGAAGGTCGAGCCCGGCCCAGGCGGGTGAGCCTGCAGCGGGCAGAGGGGGCAGGGACTGCAGGCGGGAGTAGGTGTGGGCTGCGGTGCCCTTGGCCCAGCGAGCCCCAGAGGAGGCAGGGACAGAGGGGCTGAGCGCAGGGACGTGGAGGGAGAGGGGATCGGAAAGCCCAAGCACGGTCCATGGCTCTGGACACATGTCCAGCCAAAAATGGTGCTCTCGTCCCCACCCCCACCCCCACCCTGAGCTCGGATAGCGTGGATCGTCTGCTCCAGACCGGAGAGGTGTAATTCCCCACGCTCAGGCAGAGGAAGGGGAGACGCGGGCGTCCAAGTGCCACGGCCCCCCGCCTGGCCGCAGCTGGGGACGCAGAGCAGCAGCCTGCACTAGAGCGGAGTTGGATGGAGGGCTGTGGGGCCACCAGAGTCGGTTCGGTGCCAGCGATCTCAGAGGATGGACTCCCGGCAGGCCTCTAGCCGGAACCACAAGCCTAGAGGTTGGAAGGACCGCTCAGACGCGCAGGTGCTAGGGCCCGGGCTGATGCGGAGGAGCGGGACAAGTGGGCCCTTCCCTCCTCCCCCGCCCCCTGCGCTGCCCGCCACCGCAGTCGCAGTCGCAGTCGCTGGCGGAAGCGCTCAGCTTGGAGACTAAAGGCCAGGCCTGGAGGTGCGCCTCTGGCTTGGAGGGAGGAGCACCTGCCCAGCGGGAACAAAGACAGTGAGAGACAGAGCACTCTTTAAGCTTGATGAACTCTCCAAAGGGAGGGAAAGTAAACCGTAGTGGATCTTCACATGCCACGGCTGGGAAAGACTTCACATCCATGCAGGCCAACCAGCTGGCTGCTGCCCAGAGGGGCCCGTGAGGCTCAGAGGGAAACTCACTTGCCCAGTGCCATACCAGGAGCTGAGGCCACCCCAAGGTTCTGAGAACGCATCAGAGATTTCAAAAGCCATTGCTGCAGGCAGACCAGTGGCAAGTGAACTGGCTGAAATCTGAGCCTCCTCTGAAGCCTTCCCACAGAGACCCGAGCTCGGGAGCTCCAGCACTGAGCCCATGGGTTCTGGGAGGGGATTTCTGGGGGCTGCGAAGTGTGGACAGAAATGTTCAAGGGTGAGTCTCTAGGGACAAACTCTGTGGCAGGCAGGGGCTCCCAGATGGCAAAGCACAGCAAAGAACAGGCACCTCCTTAAGTTTAAAGTCAAAACAGAGTCGAGGATTCACCTGGGAGAGCCAGACCCAGGCCAGCACAAGCTCTGCGCTCAGCCCTTAGGCACTTGTCCCTCTCCACCAGTGTCCACCTGTACCTGCCAGTGGCCTGTAGCCCCAGCCAGGAAACCCCACCACACGCCCCGCCACATCCCTCATGGGCGGCTCAGCTCCTGGGCAGGCAGGACAGGCGGGGGGGGGGGAGGAGGGGAAGCCCCACCAGGGGGGGT